TTAATGCAAACAAACACATTGGTAACATAAAGAAAGGGAAGATGTCACGAATGGAAGGAGCTGAAAGCTGCAACAAATGATGCATGCTTTAATTTTAGAATTAAAGTTTAGAAATTATTTTAGTTTACTGGGAACTCAGGAGAATCAATCAGAGGAACAATGGAGGAAAGGAATACAAGAAACTGTTTCAGTTGCTATCCTTAATACTTCAGTATGGCAAGGAAAGAGATTGCAACTATCTTGATTTATAAAATAAAATAAAATAACAGAAATAGGGGAGAAAGCTGTAGCATTGCTGTAGAGACTCTGAGGGCTATCCATCTGGTAAGTGCATGTCAGATCAAGGGTGGGACAAAAGCAGCCATACTCAGACTCAGAGTTGGGATGATTCTACCCCACCCCCCAATCTATTACTTCTTTCTCATTTGCATGTTACCCTAAAAGAGTCTGCAAACTGGTTTTCTTTATATAATGGTTCTGTAACTGGTGAGCTTCTATTAGAAGCTTGCATTAGAATGTTTTCCTTGCAATTTTTGGGTGCTTCCAGGCAGTCAGTGTTTTCGGAGTATGGTTCAATTGCATACCAGCAAATTATGGTTGATCGATTAAAGTTGATTTTCCAAAATAAAGGAGGAAAGGGGGGGGCTATTCAGACAACAGAATGGTATTAATTGTGAGTGAAGGCAAACAGTGGGCGTAACCAATAAATTAGCATAGAAAAGGCAAAAGTTTTAAGTTGTCTTCAGCAGCTTTTACAAAGTTTATGTATATTTTGTAGAAGCGTACTGAAATTGTATCATATTCTTCCCACACATTTGCAAGCCATAATTAAATTGCAAACAAAAAATGTTGCCTTATTTGTGGTCCTCCTACGGAATGTTATAGTATTGACATTAATTAATAGCATTTATCTTGCCTTTATTTGACAGAGAGGGGAAAAGTTTTGTGAACAATGCTCAGGGTGATTCTCAGTGAATCAATTATTTCTTGATATGTTTCAACATCCCTTCAGGTTATATGGAGATGAATATCTGAGGGTTTGAGAGACACAGGTCATATTTTCATTCATTGAACTTTGACTATTCACATTCCTTCTCTGTATGCAAATTCTATTAAACTCTATAGCTTTCTTTTCTTTTGGACAAATGATTGATTCAGCATTGGTGTATGACTCAAGCTAAGAACAGTAAAGTTCCTTTTACCATTGTTGATTTTATGACTAAGACTCTTACATGTGCTTGGTGTGAAAACTGAGGAAAGTTTTCCCTTAAAAAGAAGCAGCAGCTCTTATTTCTTTCTCTCCCTCAACTGTGTGTCTGTGAGCCAGCTACTATTAGATTGTTTAATATGAACTTACTGTAGCATTAAACTAATTTCCCTCTGAAATTGGTTTGAGGTAAAAGTAAAATTAACGCTGCTTGGCATATGACAGAATAGTAATAAACAAAATATCTCAAAATTAAATGTAAAGTAATAAGGTTGCATCATAGAATTGCAGAGTTGGAAGGGACCACGAGGATCATCTAGTCCGACATCTGCAATGCAGTAATCTTTTGCCCAACACGGGCCTTGAACACATGGCCCTGAGACTGAGTCTCTTGCTCTACTGACTGAGCTATCTAAAGTCTCTCAAAGTTTATTTAATAAAGGAATGTTCATTAGTAGATTCACATTTGCTGTTCAGTAGAGCAGAGGAAGTCACTTGCTCCAAAGAAAGACACCCCACATTCTGTCTGCAACATTTCCAGTGAAAGATTCTCAAGTAAGGTACCAGCCTGTGGAACTGACATTTGCTAGGAGTGTGCAAAAGCCCAAATACTGACTTTTTATCTAAATCCATGTGCTTTTATTTATGCTAATTTGTTTCTGAATCACAAAGTACGTTCTTGGTTTTACACTGCAATCTAGGTCCTGAGCTGCCCCAAGTTTTCCCATTTACTACAATGAGAAATATAAAAATGGCTACAACTTTCCTCCCTTTTGGCCAAAGTAGACAAAATTTAGAGGCAGATGAACACCTCCACCCCCTGAATGAATTACGCCTGCCAGTCTGCAGACCAATAGCTGGGGTGGTGATTGTGGGAAAGTAAAATGCACTCATTTTCCTCCATATTGCCTTATGGTGGTTGTCAGTGTCCTCCAGTAGAATTTATAGGCCTCCCAAAAGGCCCTTGCAGGTCTCCAGTAGTTTATTACAATGTGAAGCTGCCCAGAATGTTTCATTCAGACTCCTGCTGTATATTATTATTATTATTATTATTATTATTATTATTACAACAGAAGCAAGATAGATTTTGTTTGAAAACTTAAATGCTTTAGCTTTAAAAAAGCCTATGCTGCAGTACAATCCAGAGTTATTCAGTGTTCCACAGGCAATGTTTTTGATAGCCTTACTTCTTGCAAAACTTCTAAAATTAGAGAAAGATTGAGTCACTAAATAAGAAAGCATAGATCTGTGTTAGACAAAGAGCAAGACGAGGCTTACTGGGGGCCTTCATCTGATTTGGAGGCTTAAAGATACTATGCTTTGACTTGGGGAAGGGGAGATGATGTGCCTCATTATTCAGCTGCCTCACACAGCTCATGAACAACCCCTAAAATCAGCTACAAGTCCTGGCTGACAGTATTAGGATGCTGCATATGTGTCTATGTGTTGGGATTCATGATCTAACTTATAAAACATTGAAAGTTTAATTAATTTTACTGCATGTTTAAGACAAGTGATGATACCAATGCTTGTAATTATCAGGCTTGTAATACAATTTTTGCACTCGGTAATTCATGAGCTATTTATGAACACAGTGTCAGATCTGGGAATTTTCTAGTACTTTGGAATGGTTACTGAGCTGCCAATACATGCTTCATGGCTATCACGCGCTATATGAAATGTTTCTGATGGTACTCATAGGGATTTATGATCCCAGGACTGGCCAGTGCCCAGATGGGTGACTGCTTGGAAACCACTTATACACAGCCATGGCAGACAAAATGCAGGATATAAGTGTAAGAAATAAATAATAATCCAGTACTATCATCTTCCACCAGTCCTCTTTGCTAGCAGGTCCCCTTTCCTCTAAACTTACTGTGATAAGAAGCAGGACTGGTAGTCCCTGTGGACACTCTTCAGTTGTTACTAGGTCATGTTCATAGTGAATGCTCAATTCCTTCTTTGTTCAGTACATTCACATGACAAATTACAAAATGGAGGCCTTCAATATCAGGAGGCTTCTCCTGATACCTGAATACATTTGGAAAAGGGACTGCTGGGATAAATCAAGGTTGGTCAAGGCTGTAGGAGGAGCAGCAGTAGTGAGAACTCCCAAACCCTTGGTGCCTTGGGTGATATAATTGGGAGTGCAATCATGGTGACCTTATAGCTAGATGGGCAGGGTGGTGACAAGGTTGGGGTTGTGCTGGGGCATTGGCAGGGGCACAGCCCCAACCCCATCCAAGTTTGGTGTTAGTGTCAGAATGACAGCTTCATGGTCCGCCACCATATGAGTCATTACTGGTGTTCTTCCATCGTTATTTACACTCACTCCACTGTATCTGCAGCTTACCTTTCTTCTGACACTTGCAAATATTCCCTTCTGAGGGATAAAAGTGAAGGATAGATCAGTTTTGGCCAGATACTGATTTGACCATCTCTAGCTGCTTTGATTTCTCAACTTTCCAGTGGGAGAGGTTGGTAGTGGATGATGCCAGCCTCTGCACATCAGAATGTGTGTCAGCATGGACAGGTTGGAAGTGATGTTGCATGATGGTGACTACCTGCCAGGGATTCCCTGCTGGCCTGCAAGAGGAGGGACACATGGAGTAAGAGTAGAAAGGGGAGACGGGCTGGCCTCTTCACAGGGCTTCCTCAACCCTCTGCTAGCAAAGGAAAAGATAATTTGGGGTATACATGATTTCTGCTTAAATGCATGACTCTTGGAACCAAATCCCCATGTCTGAAATGATGAAACTGTATTTCAAAGCATTTCTCACAATGAGCTGAGCTACCAAAAACTTAGGAATAAAGGACTCATCTATTGGGGCTCTGGATACATTTATTGACCCCCTCTTTTTCCAGGAGGAGCATCACACATATTTATTATTTGTTTGTTTCAACCATTTATATAGTGCACAACAGCTTTGTCTCTAAGTGGTATTATCTTCCAAATTTCCCCCAACACATGTTGCTATCGTTGTTTTTCCATCTGACTATAACCCAGATGGAAATAATAAAAAAAAGGAAATGAAAGGTCTTCTCACAACACAACAAAACAAAATGTGATTAATTGATTTATGTCAAGTTAATACTTTAAATTATGATTATTCTTTTTCAAAAAATAAAATTATGACCACTTAGTATATGACCTATTCTGTGAAAGTGAACATATTAAGCAGACTAATGGAAGAAATATTTAGAGTTTAAGAATGCTAATACATTTAAGAGGTGAATGCTGCTGCTGAATTGCAAAACAAATTGAAAATAAAAATGTAACCAAATATTTTGGTAAGGTTAATTACTTCTTGGTCCTGCTTCTCAGTGCCTTCATAGTTATCGGATCATGAGCATTACCACTACATGTCTGTTCCCTCCTCCTGAAAAAGGAGTATCATTTTAGTGGAAGTCTTTATCCCTGCCTGTAGCTAAACTAGAACCATCTTTTAACAGTTTTCACATAATTGTACATTTTATAATTGTACATTTTATTGTTGTAACCCACCCTGGGACCTTATGGTAAAGCAAGGGTAAGAAATCCAATAGATAAAACAAATAAAGGTTGAATCCTGGAAGACTCTAAATCAAAGAAGCTATTTTGCCACCGTTGCTCATCAAACAAGCCGCTACCCTGGACCAAAAAAGTTTAGAACTTTCTCTGCATCCTGGTGTCCTCAGGAATAGGAACAAAGGAAGCTGCCTTCTGCAGAGTCAGACCATTGGTCCATCTCACTCAGTATTCACTGGCAGTGGTTTTTCAGGGTTTCAGGCAAGAGCCAGTCTCAGCTCTACTTGGAGAAGCCAGGATTGAACCTGGAACCTTCTGGATTTAAGGCAGATGCTCTCACATTGAGCTGCATTTGGACTACAGTGCCCATCAGTCTCAGTCAGCATGCCCAAATGTCAAGGTTGATGGGAGTTGCAGCCCAGCAACATCTAGAGGGCACCAGGTTGGTGGGGAGGGAAGCTTCCTTAGAAGTTATGCAAACCCCTAAAAATATTTTTTGGGTTTTGCCCTCCCTTTCTCTCCATATTCCAGAAAGAAAAACACAAAAGCTGAGCCAAAAACTTCAGGCCAGCTCTGCATCAAACTGGCAACAGCAAAATGGACTGCAGCCCCCTCCCTGCCAATTTCTCCCCCTCTACCAAATTATTCCAGGATCAGCTGACTTTACCTCTGCAGTTCATACCCATTTAAAAGCTACTGATACTACTCTGGGGTTCAAGTAGGGAAACAATTCTGGCAATAACACACACTATTGATTGGATCCAAAGGTTTATTCTCCACTTTCATCATATGAAGACTATTTCCATTGGAGGAAGGGATCTGATTTCTTGGTTGTGATGTTGCAATACTGAAGAGGGAGGAGGATTAAGAGAGGGTTAGTGTCAATGGTGATTTGCTTTATAGCCCTTGCACAGTTGAAAAATACCTAAAAGGGGGATACTGCTCCCCTGACCCTAACTAAAGATAATGTGAACTAGGTGTTTGCTTGTAAAACGTAAATGATGTTAAAGGTCAAAGAATCTTGGGGTCACTTCCAGATAAGGATGGACAACTCAGTCAATCACAGTGCTCTAAATTTCTCATTTCCCCAAAAAATTCAGTTCTCCATATTTGCATAGCAATTTGCATTTTTTTAAGTCCTCATGAAAATTCATCAACATTTAACTGAAAAATTTTCCCAATAAACACATTTTATGTAAATAGCTTTCACTAATTTACACATTTTCCCAAGCAGTTTTAGCTAATGTTATTTTCATTAACCTATGCATTTTTATACACACTTCATTGGAGTATATACATTTTTTATTTGGCTGGAAAACTGCATAGCAAAATTTGAAGAAGTGCTGTGTTGAAGAAGAATGGCCATGTTACAGTTCTTGTATTGTTTCATAGAGTGTGAATTTGGTTGGTTCCTCTTTAAATATGAAATTTATTGGAAATTTTCCTCTCATCCCCACTTCCAGATGACCCATTTCTTAAGCATTCATCTGGATTTGTTTGCACAAAGTTTACAAGCAAATTAGACAATGACAGCTATTTATTAAGCATTGGTTCCAGTTGGTTTTCAGGGAGATTATATGATGATAGTGTGTCAAGCAATGCTTATCCCACACTTTCATAATTTTCCTCATTGCAAAAGATCTGTTTTTTTTTTCATTTTAGTTCATTGTTGAAGAGCTACAAAATGTGCAACCTGAATTTTCTATTACGTGATTGAGTCCTATCCAACAATATTGAAAGTCTGTTAACACCCTGGAAGAGGATGATGGACAGAAAGCAAAGTTTGAGCTCTATAAGCCAACACCACTCTGGTTTTCTGTCTAGAAGGAAACTGCGGATTCTGATGGCCAAATGGCATGTTTAAGCTATGCTTCCTTCACCTATGCTCAACTTTTAAATTTCTACAAAATGCCCAATGGCCTCCAGTGATCTCTTTCCAAAGGAATCCAAACTTAATTAAGCACAGAGGTCTTGGAACATCACACTGCATTGAAATGTGGGCTGAGCACATCCATAACAGTATATTTTATTACATCTTTTGCTGCAACATTTGTTTGGATCAAATACTGATAATCTTGTCTTGATGCTGAACTGCTACCAAGTGCCGTTCCCCTCGTTTAGGAGGTCCTGGTGGTGTTAATATCAAATAATTGCACTCCCCTGCAAACAAGTGATTTTTGTTTAAAGTGAGGCTGGAACAACAGAAAACACATTAAAACACACACGCACTGAACGAGAACAGGAGCTGGCTTCTCTCAACTACTCGCCACACATACACAGCTTCCTGAATGAAAGGGAAATGATACAGCACGGTTGTTATTAAATAAAATGTTGGTTTTTAAGCTTTTCCGTGGAGGTAAAATGATTCTGTGGGATTGAATCACAAGAGTCACAATGACTCTTACATTTCATTATAACCTTATGCAGGGCTTTGTAAATTAACTCCTAAATGCTCATCTCATTCTCCTGATTGCTCCCACCTGGAGTCATAAACCTCTGCATGATCGGATAATAACCATTTCTACAGCACTGTGGAGACTTGCTGATATTGTTATGAGGGAGCTGCAGCAGGGCAAATGTACAAAGGAAGTCTCTTATGTATTCTATAGACTGCAATAATGCTGCTAATGATGCCGTTAATTTTATTTAGTGTGCTTTATGAGCCTCAGCAATAAATAATTAAAAAATAAATAGAAAATTAATCAAGCCATAATACATTTTAAATATAGATGAAACAAGCGAAGCTCAACTTTTCTTGAATTTCTGAGTACACACAACTTTATGCTATTGACTAAACCCTACTCTTAAGATTGCTCACAGAATCATGCAGGCAGTCTAACTTTGTTTGACAAAGACAAATCCTGTTCCCATTCGAGCACAGAGGATATGGGTGGTTGTTCCATGTGTGGTTCAGCTCTGATTCAGATGCTGGGCAAGGAGGCCTGTTAGAAAAGTCAGTGATCACCTCTTCGGGAAGTAGATTAGGGCACTGGATTCAGTGTGATCACAGCCACTGGGAAATTCTGTGGTTCTTCCAGAAATGATTTGGTCAAAATTCCTACATTGATCTTATCTGACCCTTTCAATTTGCATTGAGTTTTGCTGAAAACAAAATTCAGAAAGTGGTGGGGGGAGGGCAAGGTGTAGCTAGGTGACCAGTTGCCCCCATGATGGCCTGAGCTTCAATGCCCCTGCTCAACCTATTTAGTACCTTGAATAGGGTTTAGGGAAAATGTAGGGGGCACTCTTGTTTATTCCTGAGTAATGTTCTAGGGGATTTGTGTGTGTGCAAAAAATATTTCTGTAATAGAAATAAATAAAGGGGGGGGATTTTCTGGGCTCCTAGGGCTGGTAGGGTTTACCTCACTCAGCAGTCTGCTGGATCTGGTTTTCCTCCACTCTTTTAGGGACTAACTGTCTCTGAAAGATGGGGAGAAAGACTGCCTGTCTGAACTAGCAACAGTTTAAACTTTTCCAACCTGTAATGGAAATGCTTTAGGCCCCCCAAAGCAAGCCTTTGCAGTAGTGGTTATAAACTAATGGCTCTTGCTGCCCTTGGCTTAACCACATGTAGGGATCAGGAAAGGGAAATAGGGTGAGTAAGAAATAGAGTGTGTGGCAGAGAGACAAAAAATAATAATGGCGAGCCTTGCCCACTTCTGTTTCTAGTCTCATCCACTATTTGCTCCAGCCCCGCCCACTCCCACCACTGCTACCATGTGTGCTAAACACTCTGAGAGTGCAGCCCTCAACATAAAAAAGCTCCTATTCATTACATGGCTAGAAAAGATATTGACTGGCAGATTGCATTTATCAAGCTTTGTAAAACTTTGAAACTATATTTTCATATTTATATTTTTAACGTTTAGGAAACAAAACATAAGCAAAGACTGATTTCAAAGCAGCAACCCTCCATTAATTTGCATCTCAAACACCTATCATTTTGATGACTCATACAACTGTGTACACTGCTGAAAGAGATTAAAAACTCCGACTGACCTATTTTTGTAAGACAAATGCATACCTTTGTTGTGTGTTCTAAACTATTACCAACTGGTGATACATAGCAACCGGGAGGACGTGGAAGGGTGGTGAATAGACAATGCCACTGTGGTCACTTCTTTATGCTTCTTTTATCTTTTTAACCAAAAAGGGATGCCAGAGTGGCTGACAAAGCTCAATAATAAGGCTCACCCTACTCTCAAGTCTATAATACGGTAGTGGCTACAGAAGAGTAGTGTTCTGCTAGCAGTAGGATGGGAGCATTGTGGTCACCGGGATGAGGATGAGGCAGGGTGAGGTCATGGCAACAATGGGAGAGCTCTGGATTGGCAGTAGTCATGCACCTATGACATACCTGAAGGCACGTCTCCACCTCCATCATTCAGCCCGGACACTGAGGTCCACCTCCGAGGGACAAATTGGGGGAGGGGTATAAACAATAACAGCATTATTATTATTATTATTATTACAACTGCCCCAGGAAAACCGGGACATCCCATTTTTTCATGTGAGAGCATGGCAACCACTTTGGGCACCGCGATCTTGTGCTGCAATATTCCCCTGAAAACAGCACTTTTGGGGGGCCGTAATCTCGCACAGGTCATGTGACTTACTTGGGAGCATAGCCTGGAGGATGTGCAGCCTGTTTTTTGGCCTGGACATGTCGGAGGGCATGCTATGAGGGCCACACTGCTGACACCAGCCCAATGAACACAGCCCCAGCATTGAAAGGATATCACTGAGGGCAGGCCTTTGAAGCTGTTTAATTAGCCAGTCACTTTAATGCTTATTTGGCTTGCTTTTAGTTGTGTTTTTCAATTGAAGTACACCACTCTGATACTTTATGATAAAATATTTTTGTTAATGAATAAATATCCCCTAATGAGTTACAGGCTAGGGAAGAGAGGCTGACCCTGTTATTATTATTATTTAGATAGATGAGCCTTTTGCAATAAAACAATTTAATTGTCTGTGGGATGCTGCTATTATAAGGATTACCGTAAATCTCTGCCATCTTCAGTTCAGTGTTCATCAGAAAAACTGGATTCTGTGCTTGTTTTAAGCCCCTTCACTTGACGATGACCATGGCCATACTACTGCCTCTGTCCTCTGGTTATTTACCTGCAAATGTCAGCCCTTCAAGCTGCTCTTAAAAGCCTACCCATAACTTCAAGTTGAAAACTTAGCAACTCTAATTTCCTGTATTTAAATTTTAGTTTGTGTGCAATAGTTAGCACTTTCTGGCCAACTTTTACTATCTCTTTGTATTCAGTTTCAGCAATGAGTCTTTCTCTCTCTCTATATATATATATATATGAGAGAAGCAATCAAACACTCATTTAGAGTT